CAAACAAATGAATTATGATATTTCTTACTTTTTTTTTTTGTATTTATATGTTAATTACAACATTTCCAATAATACTTTGAATCTTTCCGAAGGACGCTACAACGACCACTTGGGGAGGAAAATTTGTCGTCGGATAAGTTTTTCTGTGACTAATTTTTTGTTATTTTTCTAACAAACGATATTATGTATCTATACTAATTAAAGAGGTGAAAGATTAGGCTAATGCATGTTCCATTCAGTTGCAAATAACTTCGCCACTCACTATTTTCTGTCTCCTCCACGTCCATTTTATCCTTCTAATTTCACGTGCATCATGATGATTCCATAGCTTATACAGCATTAATGGTGCTGCTTAGATATATATACTAAAATTTAGTTGTTGTGGAATCACAAGAGAAAAGAAAAGTTTAGGCTATTTCTAATGTACCAGAAGTTTGGAGTCGAACTATTATATTTGACTCAATTCCTCTCCAATTTATCAAAAATATTAGGGTTATGTTATATTTGGAAAATTGAGAAATTTTGAGAAATCTGAAAGGGTTATATTATATATGGGATAGGATCAAAGAACAAATATTTTGACAAATGCGTTTACACTTTTTAAGTCTTTAGATTCATAATATCTAACGGTTCTCATTTATTCATTAAATGACATGGATGCTCACGTGAATTTTAAATAATATTAAAGATGAAAAAATAAAACTGCAAAAGCAGTAAATTTGGAAGAAAATTAAAAATAAAATAAAAATGAAGAAACCCTGTAAACATGCAAACAAGGAAGGAGGTAGAACTCCATTGATTCAAAGTCCTTATTCGTCAGTCTTGATTAGTTCTCCTCACTTTTGGGATAAAATTATTTTTGTGAGAATGTAAAGGTAAAAGAGTCCCACATTGGTGAAAAAAGAAATCTTAGGCCATCTCCAACCGAAGCAGGGCCATAGGGCTCATTTTAGCCCTCTGGCCCTCCGAAAAATTAATATTTTAATGAACAGCGCAGACCATATTTTTTACCATCTCCAACCGAGGGCCATAGGGCTCTTTTTAGCCCTATCACAAAAAACCATCTCCAACCGAGGGCCAAAGGGCCAAACAGAATTTATTATTTAAATTTAAAAACTACAACAACTTAAATTTAAAAACAACAAATAACTTATATTTAAAAACTACAACTTAAATTTAAAGTCCATAATCAACATCATCTTCATCATCCGCCATTGTAGGAGTATAGTCGGAGGTAAACAACTGCCGCCGGGTCATAATTTCCCACCTTTTCCTATCAAAATAGGCCTTACTCATTGGAGTGTAATCCGAAGTGTCCCTTTGCATATTCCTATCATCCATCTCTTCTTGTATTTGTTTGGCCCGTTCTTCATGCCTACGGTTTCTTTCTTCCGCGGCAAAGGCATTTTGCTCTGCCATTAATCGCAATGAGGCCGCCACTTCCAGTTGAGCGGTGTAATCCTCCTTTGCCTTGCCTTTTTCCTTCAACCCTCGGGCCTAGTTTCGTCTCATAGCCCTAGGTATGGAACCTTCACCCGAAGACGGATTTTCTACCCTTGTTTCTTGAATGGTAGGAGATCCATCTTCATCTACATCTACAGCTGAGGATGCAAATCCAAACACCGGCATAGAACCTACTCTATGTTGAGGTGGATCTTCAAATAATACCTTACAAATTTCTCAACAACCGTGAAACTGAAAGGGTTTTGAGCTGCCCTCCATATACAATTCCTTCGTTTGGCGTACCTAGAAAATATAATTACAAAAATTAAAGGAAATTAATTTATGAAATTAAATGTAATATAATTAAATATTAAAAATAAATTGTGAAAACACTTACTTCATCGTAGTAATTGGTGCCGCTTTCATGTCTACTTGCGGTTGCTAACAGTGCTTGATGCCATTTATTCAAACTTGGTTGGAGATGTTTCTTCCATCTTGAAGAACAACTCTCATAGTTTCGGGTATTCGGTGGAGTGGTGCCTTCGTAGAACTCATAGTATTTTTTGGACACACGAGTCCAAACACCTTCACTTGTTTGAGAACTCCCCCTATCTTCCGAGACCCATCTATAAACCTTGCAAAGATCTTCATCTTCTTTTCGGGCCAAGCCCTACCTTTCATTACATATGAGGCCATGAAAATTATTGAAAAAATTGAAGGAAAGATTATTGGAAGAGGAAAATATGAGAATTGAAATGGTGTAGGCATGGTGAAAATTATGTGAGAAATGGTGTAGGAAGGCTTAGGTATTTATAGGAAAAAATGAGAATTTTAAAAAAAATTTGGCTAAAAAAAAAAAAAAAAAAAATCAAATCCAACGATAATTGACGTCAATTAGCCGTTAGGATTCAAAATGTGACCTGGCCCAAGGCCAGCTGGCTGGCTTCTTTGGGCCGGCTGGTTGGCCTTTTGGTCCTTTTTTGTCCAGTGGGGCCCACAAGCCCTTTGGCCTGGCCCTCGGTTCAAGACGGTTTTCGAGCTATTTTCGGCCTTCTGGCCCTTTAGAGCCTTTCAATTGGAGATAGTCTTACAAAGGCTTATAAGAGGTTGGGTTACCCCCCATATTGCTAATTGGTTTTATGGTGAAACCCCAACTTTCATCTTGGTATCAGAGCAGTTGACCCATGTGTGAAACCCAATGTCCATACGTGCTCCATGTCACCCAATTCGTGTTGTCCATGTGTTTGGTTTGAAAATTCATTAAATGTGAGGAGATGTGTGAACTTACAAGAGGTTGGACTACTCTTTGTTTTGAGATTGAACTACTCTCCGTATTGTCAATTAGTTTTATGGTACATGAAATCCCAACTTCTTCATTTTCAGCAAGCAGCAACATTGTTATCTAATGTGAGTGCTAGACGTGATAAATCTTCAAAAAACAATATAATGTCAACAAAACTTCATTCTAATCCTTGGCAAATATGACTTTTAGACTAAAATCATGAGTAAGGTCAAAATATAATTTTAGTCCCTTGATACATTAATAACCTCATTTATTAATTACATTTGCATTGTTTAATTATTTCTCTTTTTCTTCCTAATTTTAATGTATTAATTTTATTTCATTATAATTTTCATTGTCATTTCATTTATCGTAATATATTTTTTTGTAAACATTTAGATAAACTAATTTTTGTTATACAATATATTTTGATGTACTTTATCTTCTTCATTTAGGTACATTAAATTCATTATAATACATTTCGGTGTATACATTTAGGTACATACATCTCGATACAAACATTTAGGTACATTAATTCAATATAATACATTTGGGTACATACATTTTGGTACTAACATTTCGGTGCATACATTTCAGTAAACACATTTAGGTACATTAATTTAATATAATACATTTCGGTGCCTATATTTCAGTACATACATTTCGGTACTAACATTTAAATACATTAGTTCAATATACTACATTTTTTATTCATACGTTTAGTACATTAATTGAGTCTTTCAAGTTTGAAGAATGTGAAATAAAATTAATAAATAAATAAATAAAAACTTTTTTTGGTAAAAAAATAAATTAAAATTTGTATATTAATAAATTTAAATATTTATTGTGAGACATTAAATAAAATGCACATTAGTTATTTTGAATTAAGGACACATCAAGAGACTATAATCAATATGTAATCTAACACCAGGTTTATTTTAAATTTCGATCTTCTTGAAGGATTAAAGTTAAAAAACCCCAACAATTTATGGGTAGACCGTTGTTGCTTACAGAGTTTTCCTCCCCTTTTTTATTTTTTATTTTTGTCTAGTTTTGAATTCTTTTTTCAGTTTTATTTTTTTATTTTTAGTATTAGTTAACATATCCATATAACCATCTATGTCATTTAATAAATACATGAAGATCTTGAATGTTATGTAATCTAAAAGCTTAAAAGGGTGAAAATATTTATCCCTTGATCCTATCTTATTATATATAAAGATAACTTTAGTGCTTATATATATGCAAACATATACTTGATTCAATTCCTATCCATTGAAACCGCACCAAGCCAACCGGCCATATGATTAATCGGTTTAGTTCAGCCAGTTTAAGCCTTTTCCAATACATCCAATAAAAAGTAAATCATTTCAATAGTTTTTATATTTCAAAAGATCTACACTTCTCCAAAATTTCAATTCTAAAGCCCAATTCGAGCCAAGCGAAATGCTAAAAAATCGTGAAGCACGTGTGCTAATCTGAAAAACGAAAACTAGGCAACCGAAGGAAGTCTGAATGCAAAGAAGTAAGAACTGCCAACAGACGGGAGTCATGCCAGTCCAAGTTAACTAGCTAGGACTAAGTTTCAATTAAATAAAGAAGTTTTGATATAGGCACCTCGTTTTTCAATTTCGTTAATTAGACATCTATTTTCATTGATTAAATTTTTTTTTCTACAATTTTATTAGAGATACAATTGATTATCTAGAATATTGGTACATTTGATTTTATGGGACACTTGAATTTCTGGTACATTTTGTTTTTTTTGGTACACTTAGAATTTATGTACTAAAAGTTCATACATTTATTTTCAAATGCACCATAAGTTTTAAATACATTTTTTTATATAACAATATGTAAAAATTCTCACCTAATTAATTGAAGTTTTCTTATGACAGTATTAATGACTTTTTTTTAATGAAGAAAGAGACTAATTAAATAGAATAACAGAAATAAGAAGTTACTCTTTTTTTAATGATATTCATAAATTAGTTGAGTTAATATTTTTAATAAAGCCACTAATTTAAAATTACTAAATTGTAAGAAATTAGTGGTTAGCTAACTTAAGTGGATATTTATTAAATAATAGAAAATTGTTGCAAGTGGCTCTCTACCACAGTGGTGGAAATGAGTGTTACCCTTGCACCATGGTATGAGTTCAAACCCCGTTGGGATGCTGAGTTTGTAGTTGACCAAAGCATCTTAATCAAATTGTAAAGGAACAAATGTTTAGTCTAAACAAGTTGGAAAAACTGTAGGGCATTAAAACTCATGCTGGCGAAGGATTTATTAATTACAATCTCACAAAAGCATAAAATACAAACACATTTTGTAATTGTTAAAGTCATTACAACTTATAATAAATTGAAACTTATAACGTTTATTGTAAGACATCCATACAACCTATAATATATTGACTTGTGTAAAATAAATATAATTGATAAATAAAATATATATGATCGGTTCGGTTTGATTTTGATCGATTTCAAATTTTATCAAATCCAAACCAAATCAAAATAAATCACTTTCGTTTGGTTTTTAAATTGTTTGACTTTTTCTTGATCAAAACCAAACCAAACCAACCAAAACAGTTCTAATCAAACTGCTCGGTCGCCCGGTTTAATGGCCCCTACTTTCCTGATCCAGGCGGCTTTGTAGGTTTTGGTACATCTATTTGCTTTGCCACAATATGCAAATGCGATCTACTGATGATCTTCTCTCCGTCATCTGCAATGACAAGGATTAACTTTCATCATTAATTACCAACTTATACCAACCATATATAGATGCTAATTAGAAGAGAGAGAGAGAGAGAGAGAGAGAGAGAGAGAGAGAGAGAGAGAGAGAGAGAGTAACTGTGCTTTGGATTTCCAGAAACATTGGCAAGGACTAATTCGGATGAGAACAATAGTAATAGAATGATGGGAATCAGGTAAACAACGCTGGCCTTGTGAACCATATTGTATCAGATCGATGTACAAGTTTGGCTCCTTTGTTCCGTAGCTACTCAATATATAATGCGATGTCCAAGGCGCGTTTTAGGTGTTTGTTCCTGTACAAGTATTATAATTTGACCTGGAACTGATTTGCGTGCTAGGTCAAGGTTTCTGCATTTCCTTTTATGAGACTTTTAGTCTTCCATACTTTCGGTATATATGGCTTGGACATGAGTTCGAGATAATAATAGACTAATTCTTTGACATTTATCATTTATTTGCACACGAAGTTCATATAGCTGTGTTACTTGCGTACAAAGTTCACATGGGTCAAACATGGTAAGTAGTCTATACAAAGACTAGAAAATTACAAACATGTCACCAAATTTTAAAGCAATACCAATGTCCCAATTTTTATGATTAAAAAAAAGTATATATTATGGCATCAAGTTAATCGCTTATATATAGTGTAGAGCTTAGTTCATGAAATATGGGCATAGCTAACAGCAAACCACAGCCAAAATAAACAAACTTTTTTTTTTTTTCTTTTTAAACCCTAAACCCAACTACAAACAAAAAAAATTCTAAAACCCAAAGACCCGCTAAAAATTATTACCGAATTGTTTCTTGAATAAATTCCTCATTTCATTTGGAGAATGACACAAATAAACTTTGACCATCGAACGGTTTTGCTATTAAAAAAAAAGGTAATTTAGTCAAAGATCAATAAAAACTTTATTAGCAACATATCAGTGATATATTTTTATTAATTAGGTATAGGTCAATAATAAATGCTACATGGGCTTTAAGGCACTATCAATAGTCAAAATTTTACCCTTCTCTCATTCTCTCTCATTTTTTTCAAAAAAAATTGTGACTACATGCTGCCCCAACCTTTCTCCTCCACCCCACAATCAACCGCTAAGCAGATCTGTGAGATATGCAATCAAGCCGTCCACGTGCGCTCCGTCTTCCCCTGCCAGGACACCTCATCGATCTCTCTCAGCCTTCTCCCACTCCCAATCCAACCAACAACTTGTTCTTGGTATGAATCTTTGATGACACCACACCACCGCCACCACCTGCAGGAGAAGAAAAAAAAACCTGAAATCAAACCTAAAAAGCTCTAATTTTAATACATACGCCTCACTGCCACCATCTTTCACCGGCAAGGCTTTCTTGTTGAGCCTGAAACGGGTAAAGTCATGACGAGGATCTACGGGGGGATGAATTTTATGGGTTTTGATGTTTTCTTCTTTCGGGTTTGAAATATTTTTTTGTTTTAATTAATTTGATGGGTTTTATCTCCTTTTGTTCTATGATATGAAATTTATAGTTTTTTTTTTAAGAAGTAATTTTATGGGTCGAGATAGACTCCATGAAATGTGGAAAAGATTCAGGGAAGAAGAAGAGAACCAGGAAACGAACATTGCAATGCAGCGTCTGAATAGAAATGTAAAAATAGAACCAGGAAATGGACAAAACCTAAAAAAGAAGAAAAAAAATAAATAAATAAAAGAACTAGGAAACGGACACTGCATTGTAGCGTCTGAATCAAAATGTAAAAAAAAAGAAAAACAGAACCAGGAAACGGACACTACATTGCAATGTCTAAATCAAAATGTAAAAAAGAAAAAGAAAAAAAAAACAGAACCAGGAAACAAACACTGTGTTGTAGTTCTAAATCAAAATGTAATACAAGAAAAACAGGACAGAGAAACAAACACTGCATTGTAGTGCCTGAATCTAAACGTAAAAATAAATAGTCGCTCGAAGAATGAAGTATAGAAGGCGTGTGAGTGATGGAAAAAAAAAGGGAACTAGGAAATAGACACTGCAATGCAGCATTTGAGAAAGGGGGTGTCAATTGAAGTGGGTGCTAGCTGTAATGATAGATTCTGTAATTTTTGTTTATTTTAAATGCATTTAAGTGTCATAATACAGGATTGACCTATTTATAATTAATATAAATATTGTTGATCTATTGTCAATATGATAACTTTGTATTAATTTTATACAAAATCACCCAAAAAAAATGTAGTTGTTAGGGCGTTTACTAATTATGTATAAATTATAAGTAAAGGTCAAGGTCTTTACGCGTATATACATGAGAACCTATATAAACTTTCATCAATATAGAATTTCTTATGTTATATTTCCCCATCTCGATTTAATTATCCCAGATTTGATAAATGATGAGGTGTATGTAAATACTATACAATCAAGTAAACAGTCGTGTTCCTCAAATAACCCTATTTAAAGAATCTCAAGCGTAGATAAATGGGACTTCAAAAAATTCATAATTTAACACACCATACACAAAAATAGGAAAAAAAAGAAAAGAAAAAAAGAGAGCTACTAGACCTAGCCCTAGTTTGGTACTGAGGTGCTTCTAAAAAAAGTGGGTATCAAAAAAAGATGGAAGCTTTTTTATGTTTGGTAAACATTCAACTTCAACTTTTTTTCACAGTTTTAGATGCAAAACCCAACTTTTGTGCAAACCGATTTCGCAAGAGGCGCTGAGGCCTTTAATGAAAATTTTCAATACCCAAAATGACCTTTAGCAATTAAATAAATTATAAATTATACCCGTCAACTTCGTCGCCGACTCCGCTACGTCTCTCTTCTATCATCTCTGTCATAATAAAAGAAAAGATAAAAAATTTATTATATAATATTCAACATCATATCTTTTTTAGTCATTTTACATAGTCGCAGCTGTTTTACATAAAAATTTGCCAAACACTTTAACACTGCTTTTTTTGTTAAAAGTACTTTTACAAAAAAAAAAAAAGTTTACAAAACACTCTACTGCTTTATTTCACAGCTGTTTATTCTTGCAGCACAGCAGAAGTAGTTTTTTTTCAAAGCACAGCAATACCAAACCAGCCCTTACTCCATTATCTTATTTCTCTACCCACGTTATAATCCCACCCACCTTAAAAGAATTAAAAATTAAAGTGTTATTTTCCCACACACTATTATTCTCAAAATAAGCTTTAACATATACATACGTATGAAATTATAAAACAACATAATTATCATAATGCATCTTAGACGACAAAAACAAAAGGAAATACTAAAAGCTCATATAAATACTAAGCGTTCCTACAGGCTCTTATGCAGATCATGAGATTTAAAATATCTGACTATCGTCTCTGAAATTTTTGTGACAAGATGCAGTGATTATGTTTTTGAAAGAAGAAGAAAGAATAAATTTCTCGTGCATTGTGTACGGTTAGAAAGTAGCATGCAGGTTAAAATTTCACTTAATGGACCGTATACTAATATAACGGGGATAACCTTATAACTGCTAAAGGCATAACTCAAATTCTAGTCAAGGAGCGTATCTCAATTGTTGCAAAAGATGGGTTAGGGTAGATTGAGCATGGAACCCAACATTTTTCATTTTTTTTTTAATGATTAAAGAGGATAATTAATGTCCTTATCAATCATTTAACAAACAAACAAATTTATAATTAAAAAAATCCAATAAAAGGTGGGTGTGAAGATAAGACATTGAGGTCGTTATAACATCACTAAAAAATAATCTAACAGACTAATTGTGCCTTTTCATTGCATATAAGCTGCATGTGTTTATCATGATGAACCTTATCCAGTATCAATATATTGATACAAAATATGTATATATATAGTCCTATACTTAGGACATAAAAATGAGTACAGCTTATATATATATATATACATATTTATTTATATTGTTGACCATATATGTCATACAAATGTGGTTCCACATAAGATCTATGAATCTATCTCTGTTGTAAGAAATTGGTCATGCATATATCATCTCAGTTAGTTGATCCAGGCGGCCTTGGATTTGTTGGTACGTTTATTTTCTTTGCTGCAATAATATTCTTCATTTGCAGATGCGACCAACTGATCCTCTCTTCTGCAATGACAAAATATAAGGAACTTTGTTAATAAAAAATAAAAAATATATAATATTATTCTCCAATGACAAAATATAAGGAACTTTATTAATGAAAAATAATAAATATATAAATTAAACCTATACCAATCATGTATAAATGCTAATTAAACAGAGAGAGAGAGAGAGACTGTGCTTTGTGTTTGCAGAAACATTGGCAAGGACTAATTTGGATGAGAACAACAGCAATAGAATGATGGGAATCATGTAAACAACGCTGGCCTTCTGAACCATATTGTATCAGATTAAGATACAAGTTTGGCTCCTTCGTTCCCGTAACTAGCTACTTAATATATAATGCGATGTCTAAGACACGTTGTTTGACCTAGAACCGAGTAATGCGTGCTAGGTCAAGGTTTTTGATGCCGTTTTATGGAAGACTTTCATACTTTCGAGATATATAGCTTGGACATGAGTTTGAGATAATGATATTGTATCATAATTTTATATCATTTAAGCAGATAGCCAGTTAGCCACAACATTTAAAATAATCTGCTTTTTATTTAATTAGAAAGGAGTAAAAGACCAAAAAAGAAAAACAACAAACCCTAAAACCTCCTCCCCCGCTCCAGCCCCACCACCACAACCACACCCCACCACCACCCCCACCCCCCCCCCCCCCCCCCCCCCCCACCCCCCCCCACCCCCCCCCCCCCCCCCCCCAAACAAAAAAATTCTCTTTTTCCTTCCCGTACCGGCCCTGGAATGGAGTCGGTGGACTTCTCGCACAGTGCCCCAAATAAGTTTTTATGTATGTATAAATTTTTATAATGCAAACAAATGGCGTAGCATTCAAGTATGTCCTGTTGGTTGCCATGCGAAAAGGTAAACCAACTACAAACAAAAAAAATATATATCTAAAACCGAAAGACCCACTAAAAAATATTACCGAATTGTTTCTTGAATAAATTCCTCATTTCATTGGAGAATGAAGCAAATAAAATTTGACCATCTAACGGTTTTCCTATAAAATAAAATAAAAAAGTGTAGTTGTTAGGGCTAATTATGTTTAAATTATAAATAAAAGTCAAGGTCTTTACACGTTTATACATGAGAAACTAACTTCCATCAATACGAAATTTCTTATGTTATATTTCCACATCTCGATTTAATTATTCGACATTTGGTAAATGATGAGGTATATATACGTAAACACTATATAATCAAATATAATTTAACGTGTTCCTCAAATAACCCTCGTTAAAGAATCTCAAGCGTAAGTAAATGGGACTTCGAAAAATTCATAATTTAACCAAAAAAAATAATCAAACAGACGAATTGTGCCTTTTCGTTGCATATAAGCTGCATGTTTATTATGAACTATATCCAAGATCCGAATATTGATACTACATATGTATGTACGCAGTCCTATACTTAGGACATAAAAATGAGTACAGCTTATATATATATATATATGTATATATATATATATATGTATATATGTGTGTGTGTCATGCAAATGTGGTTCCAGTATATAATCTTAGCCGGTTGATCCAGACGGCCTTCGATTTGTTGGTACGTTTATTTTCTTTGCTGTAATAATATTCTTCATTTGCAGAAGCGACCTACTGACCATTCTCTTTTCTGCGATGACAAAATATACGGAACTTCATTAATGAAAATAATAAATATACTCCGTGGATAAATTCACAAACCCTAGCAAACTTAAGCATACACGTAGAAAGCTCTATGTTTATTACTATGAGAATAATTAACTCATTAATATGAGAATAATTAAACTCGCGTTCAGGTTCTGGATTAATTTCTGACTTTACATGAACTAATTATCATTTAAATAATTCGATCTCTATCACTTGCGTCCTTAGCAAACTATAACATGCCAAGTTGAATGGCATGGTACGTGCGAGTACTGTATAATATTAACAATTTTTTTGGACTAAAGAAAGTATATACATACCTTTACGTATACTTTTGTATGTATAAATGTATATACATGTATGCCTACCAGTGTGTTTACATTTATACTGATCTAAGTGCGTATTGCTTTCAACTTTGTGGGGTAATCAGTTCTACAATAAAATTACAAAAAAAAAATTTGATAAATAACATATCCAAATTAACACCGGTAAAAGAAATTTTGGCACAAGTGCAAAAGAAATTTCTTGTTATGAGGTTTCAGTGTGATCACTTTCTCAGCGACTCATGGCCAGGTAGCGGTGTAGACCTGCCTACTATATATAATTAAGCAGGGAAGTAAAAGTCAGATTGGACCAGAAAATAGGAGTCGGCCGGTCATAATTTGAATCTTCCAAACCCAACTGACTGGTAATATTACTAATGCATCCTCCATGAGGACGTGAAGAATGTCTACAACGATGAATTTTTAAAATTTTGCATGTCAGATTTGGACTACTATATATGACTTATTGTTAATTAGTTTTATAGTGAAATTTAATTTTTTGGTATGGTGCCAGAGTAGATTAATCAACATGTTAAGTTATTTTCATCATAAATGGCCATGCGGGCGTGTTTTCACGTATGAGGATATGAGGAATGCCCCTATATAACCTTGCGAAACTGAAAACTATTAAAAGTTAAACTAACTGATGCGTTGATTCATATATTTTCATTTTTATGTCAAACAATAGATTTGTTAGGTTAAATGTTAGATTAGGGAGCTGACGGGGTTCGAACTCATACCGTAGTGCATGTTTGATTCATATTTCTGTTATCATAGAGTTGCAGTTAATTAGCGATATAGTTATTGTTTCATTGTACTCATACTCACTTAATCTATATAAACAGGGATATGGTTGTTATTGCTAATGCGTAACAGGGGTGGGTGTGGGTCGTGTCGGCTCCATTTTTAGTGGATTCAGACTCGGTTTTTTTTTTTCTTTGGTAAATGTGTCTCAGCCAGTATGGGTTTATGTATTTATATTAGGGGAATGAGCTCATTTGGATCCATTTGATGCGGTATAGTTCCTATGGGTCGAGCTTGAGCATATCGTTTTCAATCATATGTCACATTACAAAACAACAATATAAAACAATCTTTATGTGTTTCCGTTACGAAAGAATTACATCTAACTAAGCCAATACCAACAAATATTCCAAAGAAAGAAGTTTGATCATTGTTTAGGGTCAGATAAATATGGAATTCTGGATCATGGGCTTCATTACGGGCTATTGATAAAATAACAAGTGCTAAGACAACCTTTAAACAATCTAGGCTTGGCTATCTACACATAAGAAATAGGGTTATTATACAAAATGGTCCCTGAGATTTGCATGATCAATAAAAATGGTCCCTGAGATTGAAAATCAATAGAAATGGTCCCTGAGATTGTTCACCATCCATGATTTTGGTCCTTCCGTTAAAAACTCTTTGGGCAATTTTCAAAGCTTCGTAACTCAATCAATTCTTAACCAAATTTGACCAATAAAATATTAAAATAAAGATAAGAAAGTGGAGAACAAGATTATACCAATTTGGAAGCCCAATGATTGTCGGAGATGGCCGAAAAATAGCCTGAAAGGTGACTGGTCAGCGGGAAAACTGAAAAACTCGCCGGAAACTGGGTAAACTTTAAACGTTCATAACTTCTTCAATACTCAACCAAATTGAGTGATTAAAAAATGAAAATCATAATTCTCGACGAGACGAAGAGAATGATATCTTTTTTTACTGCTAACTCGAGGTGGTTTGGCCGGAAAACTGATCGAAAGTGGCTAACTCGAAAATGGTTAGCCACTTTCGAGTCGTTGTCGGTCCAAACCACACGAGTTAGCCTTCAAAAAAAGTACTATTCTCTTTGTCTCGTCAAGAAGTATTATTTCCGTTTTTGAATCACTCAATTTGGTTGAGTATTGAAAAAGTTATGAACGTTTAAAGTTTACCCAGTTTCTGACGAGTTTTCTAGTTTTCCCGCGGATCAGTTACCTTTTAGGCTATTTTCCGGCCATCTCTGGCAATCGTTGGGCTTCCAAATGGTATAATCTTATTCTACTCCTATCTTCATTTTGATATATTATATATGGGTCGAATTTGGTTAAGAAACGATTGAGTTACAAAGTTTTGAAAATTTCCCAAAATCGTTTTTAACGGAAGGACCAAAATGATAGATGGTGGACAATCTCAGAGACTATTTCTATTTATTTTCAATCTTAGATACCATTTCTATTGATCATGCAAATCTCAATGATCATTTTGTATAATAACCCTAAGAAATATGGACTCGATTTTGGACGTGTTTTTACACAAACAAGTGGTGGGTTATTGGGAGGTGCAGAGGCCTGGATAAAAAGAGGAAGAAGAAATGAGAGATGGACGCTTGTGGCAGCAGAAAAGGGAAGGAGGGAGAGACAAGGTAGTGAACAGGAGGTTGTGTGGGATCGTAACCCTTTGATCTGTGATGAACTAGCAGGACCAATCGATCCCAATTTTCCGCACATAAAGGATTTAGAGAGGATCCCGTCCCATTTGTGAAGATGTGGGGAGAGATTTTTTCAAGTAACAGCTATTCATGTGGTACTCTATATGTGATAATACAGATAGAAAAAATGATATATTTTCTGTATCACTCAACTTATATAATGATACATAGAGTACCTATTTAAATATTAGACAGTTGAAAAAAATTTCTCTCTACTTAGAAAGTTCAAAGATCAATATCATGTGCTAATTCCGAGTCGCATACTCTCACTTATAGAGAATACACTTGCAAATGTGCTAGGTTAGTTATTAAGAGGTGATTTCCGCATTCATTTTTTCACTTCCACATACTCCTCCTTTTTATAGTCTACATATATTTAATAAATCAAAAGTTAATAAAGAGAAAACAGCAGTGCGAAAATCTATATATTGAAATAAGAGAAGGAAAAAAGAAAAAAAAAAGAACCTTGTGGTAAACAAACATAACTCGGACAAATTCTAACTAGTCATATGTCCCACGTAAAGTGCAGAATCAAACAAATGCGGGCAGATATGGAAGCTCTGATGACAACCAACAAAAAGCTAGAGAACCGTTTAAGACCAAATCTTTCGTTGCTCAGCAAGACTCTTGCAAAACCCGGTAGCAGTTTGGCAGGTTCGATCCTTGTTACTCATGCTAAATCGGCGATATCGGTTGCAGAATGGAACACGGAAGAATTCCAATTCCCCGAGACAGCAGTCACCAGCAGGAATGAGAAAAGCTGAAAAAGATATAACTATCAAAACGATTTCTTCTCGTATGAAACCAGACCATGAACTCCACCTTCTACTTGTGCTGCTCCTGTTCTTACCTGCATATAT